AAATTTTAAATTCTATCTTGCCAGTACTGCTAAAAATGATATTTCAACATGAATATGTCTAAATATACACATGCAAAATTTTTAGGTGTCCGGATACATTTTAAATTCAGGGTAAAAGTTTAGGATTAGTTTATGGATAATTAACACTTGGTTCGTACGTCACGAGGGAGGATAGGAAGGCTCAGGCGTCACCATCATGATGTCCGATAATCGTGTTGCCCGTGCGGACCCGCGGCTAATTCAATTAGCTGGCCGTGAAGGATATCTCCACTGGAATTGATTCGTCTTCCGGTCGAAGGAGGACGATTTGGAGCTCGTTCAAGACAGCGCCAGAAACGCTAATACAGTTGTGCTACTATTTGTCAAAGTCGAGGACTCGAAAACTTCGCGACTCTCAAGAATTAGTGGCAGAAACTCGTCTGCTATTATTCTTACTGCGAGATATTTTTATCTACCAATCTGTTATTTTGAACGTGCCGTGTCTGCTTTTCCCATGTCATCGAATCATCGCTACGTCGAAAGGACGAAAGGCCGGATGGTGTAAACCCTTATTTTTAACCAATTTAGTGGGTAACATAGGTGTTCTAGCTTATTGCGTAGATACGGATTCCAACCCCCTAATCCGAGAATGAGCGTTCCGATGAAACGTCTCAGCTCTGATGACAATCGAAAGCTTCCCTGACAACGTTCGCAGGAGCTTGACGCTCGACCGGGTCAGCCAGCAAATTGCAATTTAACGCATCGGAAGGAGACGAACCCTCTCCGTCGTCCAATCAACGGCCAATGACGTTATACCGGCCTCAGGCCGTTCTTTGAAGTCGCTGGTTAATTTGCAATATTAAGTGGTTGCGTTGCGTGAACAATCGCACATGCTTCGCAAGCCGAACAACGAGTTATGATCGTTGTCGGGGTGATTGATAACGTGGCTAATAACGAGCGAATAACGCGCGGCGGATCGTGGACCAGTGGCGTCGACGTAAATTGAGACGTTGAAAACGTCATTATACGTGCTCCGCCAGCATTTCGGCCACGGGACCGTCCTTTCAGGCTGCGTTTGCAGATCGTTTAAGAACCAAATACACAGTTACTCTATGTGACACTAATTGCGAACGAACATTTTGTTGCGTTATTATTGTCACATCACATCGTCTATAATTTTTAATACAATTTAAATGGATACTGAATAAGTCAGAGGAAACGACATATGCAATAACTTGTTCAATGATTTATCAAAATATATTCAGTATGAATTCATTTTTCGATGGAGATCATTTATCTATCTTCGAAAGGTGAAANGCTCGACCGGGTCAGCCAGCAAATTGCAATTTAACGCATCGGAAGGAGACGAACCCTCTCCGTCGTCCAATCAACGGCCAATGACGTTATACCGGCCTCAGGCCGTTCTTTGAAGTCGCTGGTTAATTTGCAATATTAAGTGGTTGCGTTGCGTGAACAATCGCACATGCTTCGCAAGCCGAACAACGAGTTATGATCGTTGTCGGGGTGATTGATAACGTGGCTAATAACGAGCGAATAACGCGCGGCGGATCGTGGACCAGTGGCGTCGACGTAAATTGAGACGTTGAAAACGTCATTATACGTGCTCCGCCAGCATTTCGGCCACGGGACCGTCCTTTCAGGCTGCGTTTGCAGATCGTTTAAGAACCAAATACACAGTTACTCTATGTGACACTAATTGCGAACGAACATTTTGTTGCGTTATTATTGTCACATCACATCGTCTATAATTTTTAATACAATTTAAATGGATACTGAATAAGTCAGAGGAAACGACATATGCAATAACTTGTTCAATGATTTATCAAAATATATTCAGTATGAATTCATTTTTCGATGGAGATCATTTATCTATCTTCGAAAGGTGAAATGCATTTCTGCTTGCTTTTGTAAAAAGAATAATTTACAGATAATTTTAAATTATATTTCTTACTGACTAAGACTGTCATTCAATGATGAGAATGAAAAGATGTTCTGTTTCCACTGTATAAACGTATTTGTATACAGATTACTATAATCTGTATGAATACATAGACCAATTGATTAACATACACTACACACGCACACACTGGTCTGTTTAAACCACACCAACCAAACAACAGTGCATCAATACATAAATTCTATGCAAATAAACACCTGTACCTATAATATACCTTGATAATCGGTGTTGCAGGTAAACTAGATGTGAAGTACAGATACTCTGAACTCCTCTGCCCAGCAACTATTTCGTGGAGTCTCTCGGGACCAAAGTAATAAAAGCAAACAATATGCGTAACGTACTACTTCAGTAGTACCGTGACTTTCGTTTGAGAAATGAAACGTAAGAGAATGCACCCACGTACAAAGGTTTTGTTCGCCTTTTACGTTCATCTGCTAAACGAAAAGCGAGTCGTCGGAGCAACGTTGACCCGTGGGGATTCGAGTCGTTTCTCATTCGTCGGAACGGCAACGAGTTACGCGATATGATTCCCTTAAACCTGTTTCCGCGTCGATAAACCCGTTCGGCCTTTTGATTCGCGATCTGGTCGGAATCTGTTCCCTTTGTCGGGACGAGGCATCTGCAGGGACGATTATCTATTGAAGAGCGAGAAGTGTCACGGGCATTGCGGGGTCTTTGAATCCTTCCGTTTAATAGCGCGACGTAATACGAAATTTTGATCGAATGTGGGTCGCCGATGACGTTTCGATAAGGTTTCGTTTGCGTTCCGGGAGAATCAGTTTCGGATTATGCAGTTTAGCTTCCTATCTGATATCTATTCGAAATTCTAAATATCAAACAGCACGGGATTACGGGTAGTTCCAACGTCAATATTGGCGGCGACGCAATTTCAATGATAGTAGACCACGGTTCACGTTTAATACCATCGGAATTAATACATAAAAGCATTTTAACAAATCGCAACTCATGTTTATAAGGCTTTTTAATTGAATCACTAAAGTTTCTTATTTTATATAATAATTCTTATTGACTCATCTTGTGTGTATTAAAATACGTCATAAGACGCGTGAATGCATCCACGATATGCAATTATGATGCAGATACGATAGACGGATACGATACAAATGAATCCGCATTTTCAGAAATTTATAATAAGCCCCGAAATTTCTGTCGAACCAGTTAAGAAGCTGCGGCGGTCTAATAAATTCTGAAACATGCCGGAAGACGTTCGACGCTGGGGAGTCGCGCAATGGAACCCAGCGGAATTCTTCCGCAGCGCATCGGAATTCTCCGAATTCTTGACGAGCGTGCATGCGTCCGACAATAAGTCGCGCTCTCGAATTTGCATTAGCTGCTACGTGTGCAGAAGCGACCTGCGGAAATACGCAAATTTTGGCAGCTACCGAGAGCTCGTAAAGCTCCGAGCTTTTTGGTTCGTCGAGAGAAATAGCTAGAGACCGGGGTGGAGTCGTAAACTGGAAAATGTCGTACGATTCCGATGCAGATTCGCTAATACCTGACAAAATATGTGTGTGTGTATATATATATACATCGCACCCTACGACTGCACTGTCATCAAGCAGGATAAATGACCAAGTTTGAATTTTTGCTAGCATTTCGAGAATATAAAATATTATACGTATACTGTCAATAAATATGAACGGTCGATTTGTGGTGTTTCGATCATCCGATTCGTTGGAATTTCTGATTTATATTATAGAAATAGAGCATTCCTGTAAATCTGTGAAACGGAGTATTCTCGCCTATTCCAAAGGCAATCTAATCGCGTTAAGACGCCCGTTCCACTCACTGGAATTCGATACAATAGATCGTCTCCCTCTACATATTTCCGGCTCTTCGCGACAACAAAAATAGTATGTTTTCCTCCTATAAATACACCGTTCGAGTAGCAGAAACAAATACGATTGGGCTTTAAAAATAAATGAATTCCACGCTCTTACGCAAACCGATGCTTTTTCGCTACACGCTACATATGTTTCTTGAAGATATAATGCGGATTTACTTAGCTTCACCTTCACCGTACAACCACTTCCCGTCGTGTTCGCTGATGTACGGCGCCTATCTATTTATCATGCGAAATTTGCAACATCCGTGGATTCGTTAAAGGGAATTAGTCTAAGACTCGATCGAGCAAATTTCAAGGGTACTCCAGTTTCGCACTAATTTCTATGATTTGCGCGTGGCGATGTTATACGCGAAACGCGAGATGATTTTCTGGATGAACGTGCTTGAAAGGGAGGACGGAAACAAAAGGGTATTTGTTCGCGGCACGCATTCAAGAGAACTTCATTCAGGTCGTTATTCGCTGTTCGCTACTTTTTCGCGATTCACGATAAAAACGTGCGTCCCGTCGTTATTGTAACGTGGCCAGAGTGACCAACGTCCGCCGGAAGTCTCCTCGCGAATTGAACGGGTATCGATATTGCTAGAATCGGACGTCGACCCTTACTTTAAACGAAGAACGATCCTCGTATAGAAGATTCTTCTGTCGTTCTTATTCTCAAAGTTCTCCACTTTGTAAAGCGTTTGTCGAATTATATTTGTTTTAGCTAAATATTGAACCACGAGACTCGTCGTTTCGATACAAAGTTGTTTCTCCAATATTTTTTATTGTTCAGGGTTTTTAAGCACGCACTCGTACTTGAACGACCAGTAATGGTTTGTGACATATTGTATAAGGACCGTTATGTGAATACAACATTCTCTCAATGCTTATATATCCTCGTGTAAACAACGTTCACCGAAACACAGAAATGTGGACACGCACATAGAATTTGATTTTTTATACGCTTTTTAATGGAATGCAAAAGACATTTCAATTAACAGCAGCTATATAATGAATCAAGTGCAAAAACACTCGAAGTGCGTCGTCGATCCTTACAGGACACCCCTTGTGTACTCCGTACCTTCGCATGCAGATTCACCCTCCGGTCTACCCCCACTTTGCGTGGAGCGTGATCGCGAGCCTTAACCCAGAAACCCGATCGCGAGGATACGCGATTAGGGAAAAGGGATCGCTTACCTCAAAAGAGGCGACGAGAACGCAGTACCGTGAAAGGACAGGGATGCCGGACCGTCCTGGCTACCTCGAGGGAAGCTCGCCCGGGCGGCATGGCTCCCACCTCTTCGCCCTGTGATCCTCCCGGTTGCTGCCCGGCAGGGTGTCCTTCTTCCTTGTTTCTAGTCTTGGTCCACACTTGGACGAGACGAAGTGCAGCCGAAAACCGAACCACCAAAGAACGGAACGTACGGTAGAACGAGATGTCTCTGTACTAATCGCGAAACGAGAGAGGTCCTTCGCGGTCAGGACCTCGGAGACGACTGACGAATGTGTCACGACCGTTTTGTCACGTCACGACGATATTTCATTCCCCTTGTCACGTCGCACTATACTACGACGTACGCTTCGTCGATAAATAGAGGACAGGCGAGAGGAAACGCGAAAGGCGGCGATACGCGATATTTGGGAAAAGGACGAGAATCGTCGGAGACGGGACAACGCGGAACACCAGGTCCAGGGGGTTAAGGGTGGTAAAAAGAGGCGATCTCTGTAAGGGGGTCGCGGTGTCGACCGTCGGACAGGATATCAGCGAAAAGAGAACACAGAAAGCTAGGCACAGGACACGATGGCCCGGCCACTGCGCCGGCACTGAGGCTACGCCGCAGCCTCGCTCTCCTGCTACTCCCTCCTCGGCTCTCACCCGCTCGCTCTCTCTCGCTCTCTCGTACCCCCTAACGTACGACCCTCTCGCTTCTCGCCTCTTCTTCTCTCTCTCGCCTCCACGAATTTCTCGCTCCGACCACCCCCTACGCGTTCTACTCCCTTCCGTCGCCGCACTCCGTCTGCGCCCCGCCGTTCTCTCTTTTCGGATCTCTGCCACCCCTGACACGCGCTCGTCCTTCCCTTCTTTCTCGCTCCGTTTCCCGACGCGAGTTCTCGTCCTTCTCCCGCTTTACGCTTTCCCATTCACCTCTCGCTTTCTCGATCCTTCTTTCTTGATCGGAATAGTCGTCCGTGTTTTCGAGCCAGTTGCCCCACCATCGACCCTTTCTTCCGCTTCTTCTTGCTGGCCTCCGTGATCATGTCGAAGGATAGAATCCATCGCTACCCTCGGGGATGTTTGTTTGCATCGTACCGTTCTTATTCTCCAACGATCATCCTGCGGTAGTCCGCCTTCCTTCCCCTTGAACATCAACTTCTGACTTCTCTTTCTATTTTTCATGCCCTGCGGCTTCATTCAGCTTCTGCCCTCGTTCCTCTGGTCCGCAATCCGAATTTCAGCTTATTTTCTTGATTTCCCTACTCGACGATATATGTAACCATCCTTTCTCTCTTCACAGATTCTTTCACCCCTTCGAGTATCTCTGACGTATTTCATTCTTGATACGACTGTGTTCACCTAGTTTTCCTTTATACGCTATTTCCTTCCTATTTTCATTCAACGCCCTCTTCTCCATCGAGGATGCCGTTCTTCCAGAGAAACACGATTCCAGCTTCTTTCTGGGTTTTCACCCTTTGCCACGCTCCTCCTCTCGCCTTCCTCGCCCTTCTTTAATTTCTTCCCCTTTCTGTAACACTTCCCTCACTCTTCGGTTGATCCCGTATTTTCGTTTACATCTTCTCTGTCTCGTTCAACGTGTTCCTGGAATCGCTTGTTGTATGCCGTTTTTTAACCATCGTCCCATCCATCACTTCTCTACTAGCTAGCTGCGTACTACAGCTTCTCGTTCATTTTATTCACCTCCTTTTTTACTCTTCTTGCCTTGACACTAGAGTTTCGCGCGTAATACATCTGTCATCCGTTTTCCTGGTCGCTTCCCTGTTTCATCCCTCTGGTCATTTCACTCGCGTGTAACTTTTGTTTCAATCT